AAAAAATATTTCTTTAGTACCTTCTCCGTGCCAACCACAGAGAAAAACTAGTGAGCAAACAGACCAAGCTTCTTTCTTTCAGCATGGTCATTAACCTCCTGTGTGAGGAAGCAGTCAACAAACAAGGAACATGGCACGTGGTGTGGGGAGGGGAACAGCAGAACAAGGTGCCCGGGCATGCCAGTGTGGGGAGGGGCTGTTGTGCAGGATAAGACAGTGTGCAAAGACTTTTCTGAGAAGACGATGGTGAGTGCAGATTAAAGGAAGGGAGAGGGTAAACCACATGGTTTCTAGGCAGAGACCATCTAGTGCGAAGACCTTTGCCAGGTGTGTGCCCTGCCTGTTCAAGGGAGAGGAGGCCAGTGTGGCTGGCGCAGAGAAAGGGGTGAAGTCAGATAGGTGACAAGGACCAGCGATTGTAGCTTCTGTTGGACATTGGGAGGTGTGAGTACGGGTTCCATGGCTGGTCATGGTGACAGGCCACTCTTGCTGCTGGTAAGAGTGACCCAGGCATGACAGTGGGCCAGCCAGGGGCTAGAACAATGATTCAAGTAGCAAGGAGCTGGGGCTTAGATCAAGATAATGAGAAGTATCTGGGTTCCGGATGTGTTTTGAAGGTAACTAACTCGGTTTGTTAATGGTTTAACTCAGAGTTTTGAGAAAATAAAATAAATCAAAGATGACTATAAGGTCTTAGCCTGAGCAAAGCCTCGAAGGGATGGAATTGTCATCTGCAGAAGTGGCATGAGCAGTTTGGAGGGAAAGTGAGAAGTAGGCCTTTCATTTCGCACAGGATATATTTCAGAGGAGGAGCTGGGTGCACCTCCCTGAAGTCCAAGAGGGAGGCCCTCTGGGCTCCTGAGCCTTTCCGTGGTGCCCAGAGCCAGGGCGTAAACGAGTCCGCCTGCGCCAAGACGAGCGTCTGAGGGCTGGGCTCCGGCGCCTTCTTTTGTTTAGATGTTTGGAGGATGAGGAGAAAACAAGAGAAAAAGATTGTATGAAGCCAAAGAAACAGTCAGGAGTGGTTTTCTGAGAGGCAACCAGAAAAAGTGTTTCGAGGAGGGTGATCAATGATTCAAAGAAAGCGGAGAGACTGAGCAGGCTGGGAACTGAGAACTGACTGTTGGGTTTCCCCACGGGGCGGAGTGACGGCGTGTCAGCGCAGACCTAGTGGAGTGAGGGGTAGGGTCAATCTGATTGGAGTGGCTTCATGATAAGAGAGAGCAGGAGACAATGTGCACAACTCTTCTGAGAAACTTTGAGCGATGAGAAGCAGAGACATGCTGCAGAAGCTGTAGGGGGACATAGAGTAAAAGGAGGGTGTATATACTTTTGTTTTTGCTTTGCTTTATTTGTGATGGGAAGTATGCATGTTAGCATGTTGATATAGAGAGTAAGAAAGTAATTCTGGTGATGGAGAGAAGGGGAATTCAGGAGAGATGTCCTTGGGAAGGTGGAAAGCACTGGGCCCCACTTCCCGGTGTGGGGGGCCAGGGCCACAGCACTCCTCGTGGCTGACAGCAGACGATGGGTGCAGATTGGGCACACGATAGATTAGAGGTGATGTCCATGGAAATTCCCTTCTTATTACTTCCTTTTATTCGGAAATAGAAGGCAGACCATGTTGGGCACTGTCCTGTGCACCAAGAGGCTGCCAGTTCGATTCCAGGTCAGGGCACATGCCCGGCTTGCAGCTCAGTCCCTGGTGGGGAGCATGCAGGAGGCGGCCTATCAGTGTTTTGCTCTCACATTGATGTTTCTCTCTCTGTCCCTCCCCTTCCTCTCTCTCTAAAAATCAATTACAAAAATAAAAAGAGTGAACAAAGTGTGGAATGAGCACCTGAAAGAGAGAGGAGCAAACGGGAGGATGTGTGACAGGGTCACGGAGGGTGCGCTCCTGGGCGTCAGGAAGTCCCAGAGCAGACAGCAGACGCCTTGTTCCCGAGCTCTAATCACCTGCAGGTGTGCAGGAGGGAGTTAGGGGGGCCGGGGGGGCTGCGCAGCGACGAGCAGGTACACCTCTCACTGCATCCAGGGCTCCTCCCACCCAGCCACCCAGCCACCCAGCCACCCAGCCACCCAGCCACCCAGCCCGCAAGCCAGAAGGTCCGGGAGTGGACGAGGCTGCATCCAGGGCTTCGCCCTGCTTTGTTTCTGTTCAGGTTCAATGGGCCAAGACTTAGATGCAACTTGTTTGCTCTAAAATAAATGTTAACTCCTGAAAACTGAGCAGAGCAACCTCCTTGAAATGTGAGAGTAGCTCCAGCGTCAGGTGGGAACACCAAGGCTTGGCTGTGGCTTGTTGATGCCTCTCAACCTGAGGACATCAGCTTGCTCATCAAATATTTATTAAGCACCCACTAAGACGAACACTCTTCAGGGCACTGGGAACAAAGCTCCCCCATCCCCAGTCTGACATTAGGAGCTTACAGCTGGCAGGGGTGTCTCAGAGATGGATGCACCTACAACTTCATTATTCCGGCTTGTTTTTCTCATGGGATGCACAGCCTGTGGGACAGACCCCCTCACCCCTCCACACACCTTGAGCTGGGCTGGAGCTCCCCACAGGCTGACTATGGTTCAGCCATCTCACCACTGATGTTGGGCAGGTTGGGTTGGTGCTGATGGGTGCTTTCAGGGAGGGAAGAGCATCTAGGCCCTGACCTGGATCTGTGCACCTTTTACAGGGGAGGGTGTTAGGGGATGCCTCTGAGTCATTTATCAATTCCAACAGGGCAGCAGGCTTGGGCCTGAAATGTCTTTTCCTGGAGTTCAGTTGGAATCAAGAGAATAGGCCCAGAAAAACCCCAGGGAGGCTGGGAAGGAAAAGAGGGTAGGAAGTCTCCAAAATCCCTTATGTGTACCAGCCCATGGCTTCCGCGCGCCCCTCCTGCCTTACCCACTCTGCTGCCAGTTGCCCCCAGTATGGTTATTTGAATGCAAGGAGCAGAAAGTCTCATTTTAGTTCTCAATCAGGATTTATTTAGAATACACAGACCCCAAGAGAAGGACCTGCAGCTGGACCACTCAAGGGGCCTCCCCAGCCACTCCTGTCCCCTGTGGGCAGCCACATCTCACCTCCTCTAGAGCCAACAGGTCTCTCATCCTCACTTCTCTCGGAATCTTTCCATCCAGTTGTAGCTCCCTCTGCTCCTCGCCTCCCGCTCCCCAAACTCCCATGTCCAAGGTCCTCCGCTGTAGGCAGAGAAGCCTGGAGGCCCTGGGTGGCTGGAACCACAGCTCTGCTCCCGGGGCAGAAGCCTGGATTGGCCAGCTCGGGCCAGGTGTCTGCACCGTCCAATCCACTGTGCCGGGGACTCTCTCATGGTGCTTCCCCGCAGTCGGGTTCTCATTTCCACGGGGATCCCAGCTCTTCTCAGCTGTGTTTGTGAGGTTCCTTCCCTCCACAGGGCACAGCAAGGGACTGAGGGGCTGATACCCAGCTGCTCAGCCCTCACACCGGGTCCCCGTGCAAGCTGCAGCCTGGCATTAGAAGCTCGTTTCTCACTCAGAGCAGGACCTCAAACGGGTTCTCAGCGGCAGTCCTCATGGGTCAGATTGCCCCTAAACACGCCCTCCCTCAGGTCTTGCACACTTACCACGTCTCGGGAAACTCCCTCACGTAGGTCAGGCCCCCAGACTGCAGGTTCCATGAAGGCGGGGACAAAGCCACCATGCCCACCAGTCTCCACACCACCTAGTGCAGGTCTGGAATCGCATATATCAGCTGAGTAATAAGGGCCAACAGCCGTGTGGAGCATGAAAGACGAGCAACTTCTGTTTCAATGCAACGTCATTGTGAAGAGTCAACATCATTCTGAAAAATTCACCCAGAGAGTGCTCATTCCTAGTGTTAGAATAGTGGAGGGTGTGTGGGAGCAGCACTGCACGGCCACTCGGGGAACCTGCAAGACCCCAACCAAGAGGCTGAGAATGAAGAGCTCAGGCCGAATCACCTGTAGCTCCAGCTGGTGTCTGAGCTTTGCTGCAGGTCTGAGCAGAGGCCGTGTGAACAGATCCCAGCGCTGTGGGCCCGAGGGAACGGGAGTGTGAGAGAGGGAGAGACAGGGAGCCCATGCACACTATTCCAGTTTAATCCTCGTGTCTCCTGGGGACACAAAGCTTCAGGGTTGTAGCTGGGACGACTGAGACGCAGGGCAAGGGACGTGTCTCAAGTCCCAGAGTGAGCAGGGAGACCAGGACTGAAGCCTGGTGTGACCTTCACACCCACGCTTGTTTCAGGCCACCATGGTGCCTCCTCTAGCCCTCTCTGCCTGCAGTCCATCAGCAGCTTGGCAGCCACACCGTGGCCACCCTGCACATGACAGGGAGGTTCTGGGCACAGCGGTGACATGGTCACATTTGAGCCGGTGGGCAAGAGTCTGGAGGACAGAACAACCCGGACTAGACGCTGGTGGTGTTCGTGTGGGCCTCCCCTCTGGCGTGGTTGACTGGACCAGAGCGAGTACGGCAGAAAGTGTGAAAGGGCTGACCACGGTGAGGACAGAGCCCTGTCTGTCCAGCTCGCCCCTGACCAGTGTCCGGTACAGTGCTGCGGTGGCAGCTGAATCAGCGCCTGGCGTCAGAAGGGCCCCGTGCAGGACAGAGAGGTGCGGGTGCTGGTCCCCAGCAGTGCCTCTGGGAACGGGCCTGTCCCCCACTGAGCCAGCAAGTGCCCAGTGGAGGTCTCGTCCCCACCGCTGTGGGGCAAACGCTGGGCCCTTGCACAGAACCGCCCCTCGGGAGCAGAGGGCTGTCTTGTCTTTAAGGAATTCCATCAACACCAAGGACATCTGGGGAAAGGAAGTACCTTTCCGGTTCAGGACCAGTGGCCCAGGGGAGGCAGGGCTGCCCCCAGAACTCTTGCTCGTGTTCAGCATTACAATGGCCTGTTTTCCACTAACCACCGGGGCTAGAATTACATGCTCTGGGGTCTGAGGGAGAAAACGCAAGTCTGGAAAATTACAAATGGTAATACTAATTTCAACCCAGTTGGCTGCTACATTTGAATACATGTCTTTATTAGAACAGTTATAAGTGCATATACAGTACATCTTTTCATTGATATGAAAGTAGAAATTGTTTCTCAAAAGGAAGTGTTACTTATTTTAAAAAGCACACTGCATACAGGAAGCTGCCTTCTTCTGGACCATTTCACATTATCTGGGAGATGCAATTTAAACAATACAAAATACAGTATTTATCACATTGAACACTGAACCCATCACCGCTCAGAGACTGAGAGTCCAGCGAGGTTGGGGAATAACAAATTTCCTGTGCGTTTTTCAACTTGGCTGTGTCAGTGGTGCACTGAGGGGACCTGGATGTTCCTAGGGGTGATTTCCAGGGATGGGGTTCCCTCAGAATGGGGCAGGGGAGATGTGGAGAGGGATCAGGATCCCACAGTTCTCATTCAGCTGCGGAAAGGCACAACACCCGAGAAGGCTGGTGAAGTCCCGGTGAGGGAGCCCAGGGTGTCACACCCGGCAGCATTCAGAAACGCTGATACCAAATCCCCTTGGGCTCTCAGCGTGGGCACTGCAGCTTCGCTTTGCAGGCCCTCTGCCCACACAAGCAGAGGGCTCTCCCGAGCCTCCTCGCTGGGGTCTCAGCATCTGGCCAGAGCAGGACAAAGAGCAGTACAGACAACACGAGGCACAGATTCAGATTCCAACACACAGCGGACCTGTGAGCCCAGCCCCCACCGCCCTCCCCACCTGGTGCAAAGGCTGGCAGCGAAGGTCTGCCCTGGACCTTGTACAGAGCCCAAGGGAAGGTCAGGTAGAGGCAGCACTGGACCAGGAGGAACAGCTGGCCGACCCCTGCTCCCCTGATGACTTGACTTGTATTTTGAAAGCACAGGGAGAGCTTTTCCTTTGCAAATGAACTATTTAAATGCATACCTGCTGTAGCTGGGAGGGCTCCTTGCAGGAGCAGATTGCAGGTAGAGAAAATGTCACACAAATAATTTCCAAGCAGTTTCTACTCTTACCTACTTCCCCCCAAGCCGGAGACACACAGATGACTCTACGTTAACTGTAGTCAGGATTCAGGGGCATGTTTGTGTGCTGGGAGCTGCAGCTTTAGTGGCTCTGATTCATGGACTCTAGAAGATGCTTCCAAATTCCCCATGCGATTTTTACACATCTTGGATTACCTGGAAAATGACCCTCCCACTGAAAATGCAATAATTGCATGTGTAACTCGGGAGCCCTGTAGCAACAGGTTAGTTTTACAGAGGGGTTCGAGGCCAGTGCTGCACCCCTTACACCTCACCACGGCACCCGTCCTCCGTGCTCCACGCAGCAGCAGCCGGAGATGTGGGTGCTGTGCAGCCTGCAGAGCCGCTCTCCACCAGAAAGATTCAATGTGAAGGAACATTCGTGGAAATGCCTAACACATGCTACTGATAACCCTGATTATTCCATCTAAAACCACCAACAGCTCACGATTTCACCGTAACAGACTGTGTTGTTGGCGTTCTGTCCATTGACACATTTCCTTGCTTTGCCTCCTTTTGCTTCCACCTACTTCGTTTCTAAAACTTCACTGGATCTTTCCTCAAAGGGGAGAAGTATTAGCGAGACACATAAAAAACAAAACAAGCAAAAACCCTCAGTGCCTACCTTTCTCAAAAGTGAATATTTTAAATGTTTAATACAACCCTACAAACTAAATTGCCCTCAGTAGAGGGTTCTTAACCAGCTTTTCCACGTGCCCCGTCCCTTCTAGGAGGAAGGCCTCCTGGGCATCCTGGGGGCACAAGGTAACCACCGCAGCAGGGTAGGACCAGGGCCGCCGTGCAGCGGACAGGTGATGGGATTGCCAAATGGTGAAAAAGTTGAGGTTAGATTCTAATCAGGGGAAAAAATACCTGGGATGAATTATTTTATGGATTTGGTTCCCAAAACAAATAAACAATAGGTAAGACTCTTTTTTTCTCGTCATTCCTGCTATTCCCCAAACAATGCTGGGCTTGACACAGTCAAGACAAACCGTCTAGTTCTGAGATAGCAGCTTCTGTGGCAGTGTTGTGGGTCGGTGTCCTCAGAGGTCAGGACTGTTGAAAACTGAATTCCCTTGGGCTCTGCTGGTCCACCACGGCTTTGTGATCAGTGGGGAAAACAAGGGCACCCCCAAAATGATCACGGCCCTAATCAGGAGCCCAGGCAAAGGCCCACGAGCATCTCCTCACTCCCAGCCTCTGCACAAGAGGAACAGACAAGGCAGCATGGAGGACACTGGCTTTGAACAAGAACACAGGATTGGACAACAGACAATGTTGCAGAGTAGACACAGATGTGCACAATGTTGCCGGGACCTGGTAACGGAATACTTTTTGGTTTGCTTCTTGGTGCCCAGGTTTAAATGAAAGTTTTTGTCTTGAAAGAGTCCTTTTCCGGGGACATGGAGACAGTCTCGGATGTACATGGTGATGGATGAGAGAGAGGATGATGAGGAGAACGTGATGAGATGCAGAGAGCTCAGGATGAGGCCCTGCCCTGGCCTCACACTCCTGCCTGCCTCAGCTCAGGGGTGATGCTCTCGTGGAGGAGCTGGCCCGGCCCCTAACCTAACCTCCACCCCTCGCAGCACGGGGCCACCTTCACTCAGGCTGCCCATGCTGACTGACACCTCCTGGTGGCTCTCCATCGCAGGACATGACATTGTGGGCAAGGCTCCCTCTGTCTGGGGTCCCAGCCTGTGCAGCTCAGGGGAATATAAAACTCTGGAACCCCTCGTCAGACCGGAGTCCACAGTAAAGATATTATAATAAAGCAAATAAAGCAATGGTTTTAGTCCAAGTTCCTATTTGTCACCAGTGACATTGGATAATCAAGCTAAATAAAAAACAAAACAATGAATATATTTTGCTACATAATCAATGGTGAAAGTGAGACAAACTGTGCAAAACAAAGCCCCGGGCACTTGCTGGGCCTGTCTGGCTGCACAAGGACACCGGGCCCTTCCTAACCCGGCTCAGACCAGCCTCCTACAGCAAGGCTTCCTCAGGCGGCTGACCCAGCCTGCGCCTCTCACATCTTGAACCTCCTGTTAACAAGAAGAGAGGGAGACACCATTAAGGCTGGTTCCTGCAGTGGCCGGGCCTCACCGAGATGCCAGGCCCACTCCAGGGCCCCGCTCTGACCTCCGAACTCCAAATGGCCGTGGTGCTGCGTCTCCCTCTGAGGCCCTGGGCAGGGAGGGTGGTGAGGGACAGCATGACCAAAGCAGTGATGGATGGAAAGTGGGGTGGAGAGGACAGACCGGTGCAGCAAGCAGGGGTCATGGCAGAGGAAAGAGGGCAGGAGCCAGCCCGACAGTGGTCACATGACAGGACAGGGCACATGGCCTTCGCCCATGGCAGACCTTTGGCCCAGCCTCACACCGAGAGTGACGCAGGCTGCCGGCTGGACCAGGACAGGGCGTTGGCACCACCCACTGCTTCCACCCTTGGCCCCTTCCCCACAGTTGTCACAGGACCTCTTAGTGGATGGGCCGGGGTGGCCCCGGGGTTGGTGCAGAGGTGGCCTCACACACCACTCACCTGGCGCAGACTGTGGACACTGCCCAGTGCCCACCCAGCAGTGCATCAAGGTCCAGCTCTTCGTCTCTCCCCCAGCGACCCAGGACCCTCTGCTTGGCAGAAGGGCCAGCTGAGCCATGTAGAGACAGGATGATGCTGGCCTGTGCTTCCCAACAGTGGGCCAGCTCTCTTAGTCCCCACTGCCCCCGACAGGCGGGAGGCACTGTCCCCCTGGGCACCGCAGAAAGCAGTCTGTCACCTCAGGTCAGCAACAGTTTGACCCACTGTTGCTGGAGGGCAGTCCGCTACCTCCGGTGCATAGGAAGGACATGCCACCCTCTCGGCAGAGATGGCTGTCCTACAGTGTAAAGAATGGAGCACAGCGCGGGGCACCGGAGGGCGGAGTGCAGGACAGATGGCGTGAGCCCCGCTCACCGCTCACCGCTCACCGCTCACCCAGGAGCGACCTGCCATCCCAGGGCTGGCAGCAGGGCCCAGCTGGGTGCTGGCAGCTCAGAGGGATGGCAGTGGGAAACGAAAGGTCTCTGGCCGTGGGCCCTAGCAGGACACTTCTCCAATGGTGAAAGGAAGACTGTGGTGTAACCACAAAGGAGCGCATCAGAGCCTGAGGGGACGCAGCACTGACAGGTGAGCCGGACACGCAGGGACCTTGAGTTTTCTTCTCCTGAAATCCACCTGCTATGGCCTCCATCCACGTCATCTTTCCGGATCCATGTGCTAAAACTGTCACCAGGGTCTGGGGTGCAGGGTGTGTGCTTATGTGTCCGGGGCAGGGAGGAGGGTGGACAGATGCGCGAGGCATCCTTTCCAAAGCACCACTGACAGGGCCTTGCTCTCCCCGTGACCCCGCCTTCCCGTCCACATTAGAGACTTGGCAAAAATTCTGACATAGTTCTTTAGAGGGTAGTGAGAAAAGTTCTAGAATTTAAGTCACTTTAAGCAGATATTCCCATGAGTGAGCACTGAGGCAGCTGTGTCCTGCAACCTAATCACAGGGTCATGGAGACTCTTCCAGAAGGAGGGGGGGGACAGGCTAGATGTCCCAGAGCTGCGGGCCCCTCACACTGTTCCTCTGTCGGGGCCCCTTGTAAAGAATCTACAAAATGCAACAACCTCCGCTCTCTGGGACCGCGGAGCTCACACCCCTCTCCCTGTATGGGCTGCAGAGACCCACCTGAGCTTGGAGCAAGGCCTCTCACAAGGCTCAGGCCTGGGAGGGCTGGAGAAGTCCCACCCCGGGCGGCGGAGGTGGAGGGCCAGGCAACCCCACTTGGGGAAAGGAGTCAGTTGTGTTCTGCAAGCGCAAGGGCCACAGCCAGCTCTGCCCCAGGAAGGCCTGGTGGGCAGCGCCACTGGCAGCCAAGGAGAGGGCGGAGGCACGTGCCCTCCGCTGGGCTGGCCGAGGCGCTGCTGCCAGCAGACTGCTTGGTGTGTGGCCCGCAGTCCCAGGCTGGTCGCAGGCAGGAAGGCAGCTGAGTGCGCGGAGTGTGTGAGCTCCGAGTATCAGAGCCTCCTAAGAGAAGGAGTGAAGGGCGGGGTGCGAGGCTGAGAAATCCGGGCGATGGTGGGGACCCAGGTCACTCTAGATAGACCCTGGGTCATGCTAGAGTCCCGAGCTGTTCTACAGAGTCCTGAGCACACCGTCTCCACGTCCCAGACCCCAGCCTCGGTCTCTGTACAACTACTTTCTTCATAATTTGGCAGACCAGGAAGGACCTTAGTAAGCACATAAATGCAGGGGCCAGTGTGGCCACAGCGGTGCAAAGCGCGCTCCCCTCGGAGGTCTGAGAGGCCCCGGAGGCGGGGTCTGCTCCGGAGGGGTCAGAGCCCATTTACAAAGCGGGCAGACCAGACAGGGCACTGCGGTCCGTCCAGGAGGCCGGCAGCTAGTTTTTCCTTCTCTGCGCAGCCTTTCTCTTCTTCTGTCGCTTCTTTTTTCCTATCTTTTCCTTTTTCCCCACTTTTTCTTCTCTGCGCCCCCTTCGACAAAATTAGTAGAACCATTAATAATGATGACATAAACAAGCGTCTGTCTCAGCCTGCACAAAATTCAACACTGGCCCGCGTACTGGCTCCACTGTCCCGTCTCAGGCCTGGAGGCCCCGGGCAGAGCCCTGTCCCTCAGGACCTCATTCCCGTAAATTCAACATGTGCCTTGATTCAAAGCCCTGTTAGACAGGCTTCCTCAGCGCGTGAACTGATTCCAGCCATCACCAGTTGGCCAACCTGACCCTGTTCCCACTGTTGCCTGAGGCTCCCCGTGGGGAAAGGAATTCGCATCTCAGAGGGTGTGAAGGCAAACCAGGGCCAGGCCCCCTGCACCTTCTACCTCCCCCCACCTGCTTGCCCAGGCTTCCTTCACGCTGCAGAGCTGAGCTGTCTTAAAGTCTCTGCAGTGCAAGTCAGAGGCTAGTTCAGAAGGCCATCCAGGACAGGAGGGGGCGCTCCAGGCAGACCCCTTCTCCTTTCTGGATGCCCATGGAGACCCCTGGGAACGGCTGAGATTGTTCTGAAGAATGAGGGAGAGAGCTGGTTAGCAGAATTTTATTAGAGCAACTGGCTCATGACTGTCACATTAAAATGATTCAAGCTGAATGGTATTTAATGATTTATGGGAGAAGGCCACCTGTTCCTTAGAAAGCTTGATATTAACCATGGGCTGGGATTACAGGGTTTTCACATGGGAAAATGTGAGAGCTGCGTAGGGCTGAGTCTCTGGAGATTACGTGGGGATGTTAGGAGAACCGAGGAGAAGGAAGGGGGACAGGGATTAGTGAGTCAAATATTATTCTTCAGCAAACTAGCACCACTGAGACTGTTGGGTTAAAAAAAAACCCAACAAAGTGCAAAAAGTTGAGCTGCAGACCTCACGTGCCCCTGAGCAAGGCCCTGCGGCTGGGCTGTCACGGGGACTCGAGGAGGGGCCAGGCCCCGGCAGGCTGGCTTGTCTTCACAAACCGAAACGACCCTGCGGGAGCTCCGTCTGACGACTGATGGGCTTTATTTCAGGTAAATGAATTCCCACATTCGGTAGGACGTTTATACCATGAAACAGTTAGCATTTTATTGCTAGTGCATATAATGTCACATTTGATATACAATTTTCGTACAAGTGAAAAAATACACTGTGGCCGACATTAAAAAGCTGCAATCACACTTGTGTTTCTTCACAAACTGCCAGTAGTTTAAGATAATAGAGAAATGTAGCTACTGACATCCATGTGGCTCCACCTCAAATGTAGGAATTGTTCGGCTATAAATATATTCTGAAATACATTTGTTTTATAAAGAAGTGTTTAAAAAATTATGCACAAAAATAGATTTAAAAAAATGCCTTGCAAAAAGTAACAAATACCATCAGGCCCGTCTGTGGATCACATTTGTGCGTGGAAATTTCACCTTGCCAACATTTCTGATTACAGCTATTGTGGCTTCAGGAGCAGGAGTTAGTGGCAAGAGGCTCATTCATTCATTTGATTGTTCATCTCTGATTTCAGAAAACGTGGCATTTGCAGAGCCTCTGTGGCACACACATGCTTCAGAGGCAATCAGAAACCCAATTCCTCAGAGAAAGCTCTCAGGTTGAAATTGCATTTGACTTCGCAAAGACTTGTCTTTCAAGGGAAGGTGGAGACATGGTCTCCCACACCCCAGGAGGAGACCAGCTCCGTTCTGGAGGAGGCCAGACAGATTCTCACAGAGGGCCTGAGCAGGAGGGAGGGCGCAGGGAGGAGGGGCTAAGGGGCTGGAGCTCCGCGATGCCCCCCTCCGGGAGCACACACCAGGATGAGAAGCAGAAGAGATGAGAGCATGCTCTTGCAGGCAGAGAGGCTGGGCATGAGTGGGAGGGGGTCTCTGAGCACAGTCCCGAGTGATGGCTTGTGTGTGGAGCCCACAGGTCCATTGCGGATGGTGGCAGCTGCCTAGCATGGTCAATATCTGCAAGCTACCTGGGCCTTCATTCTGAGAGGGGTGTGCCCTGAAAAAGACACCCACTGTCTTCCTCCATGCCTCGGCTGTGGAGGAAGGACACTTCTTTGAGCTCCATGCTTGGCCATCACCTGACTGTGCTCAGATTCCCCAGGGGAGAAAAGGAAAACTTCAAAACAAATACAGATATTAAAGTAATCATTGGTTTAAAAAAGGATAATGAGAATGACGATGCCTGTGCCGATCACAAGGGAAGTGACTGGTGGGAAATGCTGTTGGGATAATACAATTTCTTAGAAAAACCCCGGCTGTCAAACAGCCCGTGTGCAAGGGTCCGGGTGTGAATGAATATAAGCTGCGATGTCGTACCATAGGCTACAAATGCAGATGCCTCATGCTGGGCACACCTCCCGCCAACCCAGGCCCACGTGCTCCCACAAGCACGCCTGGCCAGGCGGGCCCTCCTCCCCACACCTTTGCCCATCCAAGACTCTCACACCGTTTCGCTTTCCTCCAGTGGCTCTAGTGGAAAGTCCTTTTTGGCTGTTGTGCTTACTTGTTTAAAGCTTTCTCCAGGTATTCCTGAATCCACTTCAGTTTCGGGTCGATACACACTTGTCTGTTGTTGTTCTTCAGTTTTGCCCTAAAAAACAGAAGAGGCGATGGTGTGTGTCGAGAAGGCACGAGGGGACCTATGCATCCGCTCACCCACCACCCCGTCGCCGGGCCCTTCCTGCAGCCGGTGCTCGGCAGTCTTCCACGGGAAGCACCTGAGCTGGAACCTGAAGGATTCGTGGGAGCTGGACAGAGAGTGAAGGGGGAGAAGCAAGGCAAACACAGCAGAGGCAACAGCACAGCCCTGACCAACAGCTGCTCAAGGAACCTGTAGCCAGACATAGAGGCGAACAGAGAGGATGTTTTCTGCAAGATATGGGAACTTGTGAGGATTATAGCTGGAGAGAAACAGAAGCAGACTTTTACTTTGGTGAATCATCTTGAAGACAGAAACAAGACTAAACCGAAGGCAGTGGTTCTTCCTAATGCCACAGCCCTTTAACACAGTCCTCATGCTGTGCTGACCCCCAACCATAAAATCATTTTTGTTGCTACTTCATAATTGTAATTTTGCTACTGTTATGTCTTAGGCAATCCCTGTGAAAGGGTCGACCCCCCAAAGGGGTTGCAGCCCACAAGGACCCACAGGTTGAGAACCACTAGAGAGGCAGGGGCCTGCAGTAATCTGAGGGGTGAGGTGAGAGTGCAGTGAGGGGGAGTGCAGGGGAGGGGGCCGGTGCAGGGGAGGGGGGCAGTGTAATGGGGGGCAGTGCAGGGGGAGGGCAGTGTAGGGGAGGGGGGAGTGCAGTGAGGGGGAGTGCAGGGGAGGGGGGCAGTGCAGGGGAGGGGGGCAGTGTAATGGGGGGCAGTGCAGGGGGAAGTAATGGGGGGCAGTGCAGGATTGAGGGGGGCAGTGTCAGTGGGAGGGGGGCGTGTCAGTGAGGGGGCAGTGCGGGGAGGGGGCAGTGTCAGGGAGGGGGAGGCAGTGAGTGGAATGCAGGGGAGGGGGCAGTGCAGGGGAGGGGGCAGTGTAATGGGGGGGCAGTGCAGGGGAGGGGGGAGTGCAGGGGAGGGGGGCAGTGCAATGGGGGGGCAGTGCAGTGAGGGGGAGTGCAGGGGAGGGGGGCAGTGTAATGGGGGGGCAGTGCAGGGGAGGGGGGAGTGCAGTGAGGGGGCAGTGTAGGGCAAGGGGGAAGTACAGGGGAGGGGGGCAGGGAAGTGAAGAGGAGAGTGGTTGGGAGAGGCATAATGGAGGTGATTTGCCTGAATATGGTTTCCACAGAGTTTTACAATTTCAGTGACTTCCACGGTCTCATTTGTTTTTCAAAAGTTCATACCCCCTCTCCCTTCCACTTCTCACCTCTACTCAAAGCCACTCTCCCAGGACACTCCTGGAGGAGGATCTAGACCTTTCTCTGCACCCCCCTCCACAGGCTGTGGCCCCCAGGCAATCGGTGCATGTACCACGTGGAGCCTGCAGCCCCGCCTGGCCGTCACTTCTGCCTGCGAGGACTAAGGAAGGCCTGCGGGGGATGAGGCTGGAAGCAGAGCGGATGGAATTCAGATCTGGGCCCGCTCTTGACTGCTCGGTCTGCCCAGACGTCCTCTTGGGCTTCCTCGGCTTCAGGAGCGCCCCGGGCCGCCACACCAGCATGGCCTGTGCTGCTCGGCAGGCCTAGGCCCACACAGCTGCACTTACAACCTGGTAAAGCACCTCCCAGGGGACACACAGGATTTTATTATGCACCGAGGAAGTAAAACATCCATCTCCTCGGGCCCTACAACATTTGTAAATGGAAACATCAAGGCATCAGAGGCTAGAAAAGAACACAAAGGAAAATCAAACCTAAAACGCTGGTGCTGTGCTGAAAAGTCTTGAGGAAGTTTCAGCTTTAATTGCTGTGTCCCATCGTTTTTAGCACTAAGACCTCTCAGGAGGTGCGCTCTCCCCAGGAGACACCTGGCGTCACGTCCCTGGAGTCCAGACGGGCAAGCCGGCGCCCTGTGGCCAGCACAGGTGCCCAGGAGCATGCCGGCCAAGCCGGGGGCAGCCACGGGTGGCTCTGTCACACACCCCGTCCAGCCTCTCGCACGGCAGGCCATGGATCTCCATCTCACGTCTGTGTGATTTTGGTTCATCTCACTCCCCAAGAACAACATCGAATGTCAGCACCAGCATAAGCAAAAACCATGTGTTGCGTGTGAGAAGATGAAGTGGAGTGAGCTGACACTGGTTAAAGACGACTGCATCTGAATTGGGGTCCTGCAAGTCTGTACGATGTGAGAAAGGGTTAATTTATTAGCGCAAAGCCCGGAAACTGGCGGGAGAGACAGATTGGTACCACCAAAGGACTGGCTGATTGACTGCACTTGAGCAGACTCGGGCGAGGCCATGTTTCTCCAGGCTGGAGCGGCAGCCAGTGCGAGTGCGCTGACTCCTGTCTGCAGGGGGGAAGCTTGGAAAGAAGAGGACCCCACCCACCCAAGGTAAGCACAGCAAGGCACCGCAGGGGGAGTGGCTTCGGAAGCCCCTGCCTGGTGGTGTCCTCAAAGTCCTTGTGGTGATGACAGCTGCCTCTAATTATGCCAAGTCAAGGCTGGACACTTGGCAAGTCTCACTTCTCTAGCTGTAGCAAGTCTGCCAGTTGTTACTGTGCCCATTAGAGGTGACGTCCAGGAGGACGATGTTCAGACTTACACGATCTGAAGGGCGCAGTTCGGAGTGTTGAGGATTTTGAGATGCTTGACGTTGGCTCTAGCAACGTGACTCTCGAAGAATCGGCAAGGACATCTGTAGCTCAGGCTGACCGGCTTCCCTGGGAGAGGTGGTAAGAACAGGTGACTTGTTACTACCCTGCCAGGCCTCAGACATACACACATGTCTGGGTCTGCACTGAGGAAAACGGGGGTAGGAGGACGGTGGGGTGGAGAGCGATGGGATGAGCCCCTGGTGCGTCCCAGCAGAGACCTTCTCCTTGGGGAGCACACTGAGACCCAGTGGGCTCAGGCTCAACTTCTACAAGGACAGAGGACTCGAGGCCCTGGGAGAGATGGGAGGGAGGAGGGTGGGCAGGAAAACCACAGTGAGAAGCCCCTGCTTAGATTCCTTAAGATAAAGGATGTCAATCACAGGAGAGAGCTATTTCCTTGAAGGTGCCAAGGTTCCCAGTTATTCTTTGCAAAATTAACTCCTCCAGGGTCAACTGAGAAAATCTCTCCTACTCAAACATGGGGGGGGGGGGGGCAAATGAAGCGCCAGGCTCAGTCTCTCCCCTCCTCTGGCACAGGCCTGGTCCCAGGAGCCACCACGGACCTGGGAATACTGCCCTCCCCCACCTGCAGTCTTCTTGCCTCACATTTACCTTAAGCCCAGGCAACCCCAAGGACTCCAGCCGGCTTCCTACCTGGGAGTCCGGAGGGCAGGACAAGGCCACTTTCTCTCCAGCACTTCCCAGAGGCATGGAGACTCCAGCTCTGGAGTCAGATATGGCTTTCATGCTGCTGCAGGGGCCCCCAGCCTCCCGGGTTGTATTACATCTTTGTCTGCAAATTCACCAGTTTGCAAAATGCCATAATTGACACTCATTAGTGTAAATTAGCAAAGGGCTCCTGCAGAACCCACCCTTACCCTTTAAGTCTAGAATTGCAAACCCTGGGAGGCTGGGATTTGTGAGGGTTTTTCCTGCAGATTTTATCCAAGCCCTGCTTAATAACCCAAATTATTTGAATTTGTGAATTCTTTCATTGGGGATTAAATGTATGTCTGAGAATATTTAGTCCAGGGATTTTTTGTTGTTGTTGTTAATCCTCACCCGAGGATATTTTTCCATTGATTTTTAGATAGAGTGGAAGGGAGGGAGGGAGAAACAGTAACACAGATGTGAGAGAGAGGCATTGATTGGTTGCCTGCGGTAGGACCCCGACTGGGGGTAGGACCCCGAATGGGGCCGGAGATGGAACCTGCAACCCAGGTATGTGCCTCTGACTGGGAATCGAACCACCAACCCTTTCGGTCTGTCAGCTGAGACTCTAAACACTGAGCCAAATTGGCCAGGTTAGAGTGTTGTCTTTTTTTTTTTTTAAGCATTCAGCTTCTTCTTCTTTTTTTTTTTAATCCTCACCTGAAGATATTTTTCCCTTTATCTTCAGATAGAGTGGGAGGGAGAGAGAGAGAGAGACATTGATGTGAGACAGACACATTGACTGGTTGCCTCCCATATGACCCTGAGGAGGGCCAGAGACAAACCAAACTGAAACTGAGGTACATGCCCTTGACTGGAATTGAATCCACAACTCATTGGTCTGAGGGCCGAGCCAAACCGGCCAGGGTGTGTTTTGTGTGTGTGTGTGTGTCTGTGTAAGTACTTTTGTTTACTGAACTCCCAGAGGCCTCCTGGTGGTTCAGAAGTTCTGCACTTTGGGGCAAGATAGTTGAGGAAGCTTCGTGAAACCTTGCAAATTGGGGACTTCTTATTTTTGTCTTTTCTAAAGGCTGCATTCAGTTGAGAAATGGCGTGGCCTGCGTATAGCAGCCTATTAGCCACCAAGTCCAGGGAAAAGTAGACACCCCTCCCCCCAACCAAACTCAACACCCTGGAAACCAGGAGGAAGAAAGCCTGGTTCAGGGTACACAGCTGACTCAGGGTGCAGGAGCATCAGAACAGCCTTCACATGTACCCCTGATCTGACTCCAGAAAGTCTCTGCTGGGGCCTGGCCTTCAGCAACTGCACAGACATCTCCTCTCTATACTACCTGGTAACTGGATCACCTGGGAAAGCAGTCCCGGGGCTGGGGGTAGGCAGCCTGTCTAAAAGGAGAGCCGTCTCCCCTCTGAGTGTGCTGCCTCCAGGTTTCCCCCAAATTCCCACGGGTCCTCCTGAGCTGAGCAGGGACTGAGCCAATGGTGAGCCAGGACAGTCCCACCCCTAGAGCAACGGGGAGCTGGAAGGTGATGGTCTGAGCAGTGGTGGGTGGTGGCTGCTGCTCTCTAGTGTCCAAGAAGGTATTCTGGCTCCATCCGGTGCAGAGCAGGCCTAGTCTGAACTCAAAACACAGGCTTTCTCTTTTTCTTCTCTTCCCCACTTCATCTTCTGGGACTACCCATTCTTTTAAAGGCAATTCTTATTCCTACTCCCAGGACCCAGTTGCCTATCTATCAAGTGGGGAATTTCAATAGTTTTATTATTATTGATTTGAGATAGCTAGCTAGCTAGATAAATAGATAAGATAGATGTCAAGTTTTTTTGTCCCACTTATTTATGCATTGATTGGTTGATTCTTGTATGTGCCCTAACCTGGGATCAAACCTGCAACCTTGACATAGCACAAGGTTCTAACCTGGCCAGGGCCTCAGTAGATTTTTAAAGTGACAGAGCCCAAGTGCACCTACTGGGAGAACTCAGCACTGTGTCCAATTAGTAACATTTCCTACAATTTTTTGTCAATATTACTAACTTTTCCAACTGTTTTGGGTGTGACTTCATGTACAAGAAAGACACCTGGTTAGCCCAGATACTACTGAGGGTTGGGACCTTGGCTTATGTCAGAGCAGTTACCAGAAAACTTTTCACTCTAATGAACAGACAGACCCTGACCAAACTCTCCAAACAGGCCTGGGAATGGGGCCCAGCCTAGATTTAACCTCTGGACACCCAGACCAGTTTCTTGGCTGGGATCAGCCAGTGGAGGAAGGGCAGAGTCCCAAGCCTGAGCCTGAACAAAGGTATCTCCGAAGTGCAGCTTCAAAGCTCGGCATGAGTACAAAGACCCCAGGAGTTCCAAAACAGGCATTCTCACCTGGACATGCAAGGAGAATCAGACCAGCCTGAAGCCCAGGACCCTGACCTGGCCAGTTGACTGCCAAGAGAGGCAGCAACCAGCCTTTCCCAGGGTCAGGAGTCTGTGGCTGCGCTCCCCACAGGACAGCTATGTCCAGCACTCAGTGAGCTGGGACCCTGCATCCCAGCCCTTTCTGCAACGAGGGGTGCATCACTTCTCCAGAGAAAGGTATGTGGTGCCACCTCCACTCTCACCAGACCACTCAATTGTTAATTCCCAAACCAGGGTGCCTCCATGACTTGGGGAGTCAATGTGGAGACAGCAGCAGCCTAGGACAGTGTTTCAGCCAGGAGAAAAGTTTTAGATCACCTTTGATCTGGTCCCTCTGCAGCTCTGACCAGCAACTTGCTACACTTTTAAAGAACACTCTCCAGGGGTCAGCAAAGAACCCTTGTCAGCCCAGTCCCCTCTGCCTGGTCTGGTTGCAGGCATGCTCGCCTTACTCACACTGCCCCGCCCCCACCTGCCAGGACACATCAGGGGTCTTCCCCACAACCCAGCCTAGTGCTGCAGGAACTCCAGGAGCTGGGCCCTGCACAGACCTCAGTAGCACCAAAAGCACTCAGAGTGTCCTTCGACCCTTTGCAGGGTTTGTGGTAAACTTCGAAGCCAAGAACAAAACAGGCCAGGCAGCATGGCCTAACGTTTTTTCGTTTTGTTTTGTCCCCCCCGCCTTGTTTTTTCTTCTTGCAACAGTTTATTTTGGTTTGTAGCAGTGGCGGTGTCCTGTGACAGGACAGGAAGATTCTCTCAAGCTTCAAAAGAAGAAACGCTCTCTCACTCTCCCAGTGAAACTGGACACCACCTTGCACAATGGCCTAAGGCCTTGGCGATTGAACTTTGTTGCAGAGCTCATTCTGAGTGGCCAGCTCCCGTGGCTGAGTGAAGGCGCATTTCTGCAGGTGTGTTTTGGGGACTAGGGCATGAGCGACTCTGATGACCCCAGGACCTCTCTAGAGGGACCACTGTGAGAGCCCAAAGGAACCTGAAAGCATGCCCAGGTTCACCGTGTTGCTTTGGACCTTGGAGCTGCGTAGAAACGCAGCCCAGTTTGTGGCGCAAACCCGACAGTTGCTTGGTACCACCCGCCTGCCGATTCCGGCTTCGGTGGCTGCAGAGGGAAATCTGGCCTCACTGGAAGGGCAACCACGCTGCTGCATCAGCTCGCACAGCCACCACAGCAATTGCAATTAGGTTTGCCAAGATCCCTTTCCGACACCAACCGCCCATCGCACCTCCAAGCACCGGGAGCCCATCTGCCTCTGGAAAGCGAGCCAGGCGCAGGAAGGCACTAGCTGCGGGGTAGATGGGCAAGGGCCTGGGACTCGCGGCTCCTTTCCACACCCTAACCTCCCTCCGGGGCACACTTAGAACGCGCCCTGGGAGCGCCCACCCAGTTGTCCTGTGGGACCTTGCTCTGCAGCCTGCACCAGGTCTGCTGCTGCTCCGCGGTCCCGGACCCCAGCCCAGTGCAAAGCCTCAGTGCCTTGACGCTGCGCGCGGCACTCTGGACACCGCACCCGAGGGAGCGCGCCCTGCGTAATGGGCTGCGGCGTTCGGTGCACAGCGATGCGCGCTGGCTTCGCTCCGGGCAGCGCGGGCGACCCGACCGCAGAGAGCCGCGGCCCAGCGCGGAGCCGGGAGCCCTGAGCCCGGAGCCTGCCCAGCCTGCGCCGCCAGTCACACTCACCGTCGCTGAGGCAGAGCGCGGCCAGCACAAGGACCAGCACAGTGAAGACCTTGGCATCCATGGCACGGACAGGCGGCGGCAGGAGAGCCGAAGTCAGACGCTGAGCTGAAGTGGCGGCAGAGAGTGAAAGTGTGGCAGCCAGGGAAGCGCGCCGGACGCTTTAGAGGCAAGAGGGGAGCTGGCGGGAGGGGCGGGGCGGGGCGGGGAGGGGCGGGACGCTGGGCGAGGGGCGGGCCTGGAGCCAAATCCCCGTGACAGCCGGGGGCTCTGACAAGCCTCCATCCAGTAGAGAACTCCAACTGTCCCCTCCCTGCCACCTCTCCTCTGTGCCAAGGGTGCCGCAGGGGATGCTGTGCGCTCAGGCCTTTGGCTATCCGGGGTTCCACTGGGCCGGCTCCGTAAGCCTGACTTGCAGTGAGGAACCAGGCTTCCCAGTGAGTCTGGCCTGAAGGGCTGGTTATTGTTTCCATTGTTCAGATGGAGACTTTGAGTCCCAAAGGCAAATCTGAATGAGAACCAAGGAAAAGCAAAGTCAAGACTAGGGGTGAGGGCCCACAGGGACCTGGGAGGGCTACAAGAGATGTAGTAGCTAAGAGTGTCTTGTTTTTCCGCTGTGTACGACCCACCGGAAGGTGACCATTGACTCAGGCCCTCTGCGCGGTGGTCCCAAAGCTCAGCCTAAGAGGGTATGAGACCGATCTTTACAGTCAGGGCAACCCCAGTTCCAAGTCAAGGATATTGCTTACTAGCCAAGCCTCAGTTTCCTCAACTGTAAAACTCAGGCACTAAAATAGGGTGCTGTGTCACCAAAAAGAAACACAGCAGGCCCCCCGTGGCTCGTAGTCAGTTCAGCCCTTTCTGTACCTCTGTCGTCTCAACTGGGAAATAGGTTGGTCACAATTCCTCGGGTGAAACTGGGGAAATCGAGAGACACCCCTCCCAGGAAATGGAAGCCAGGAACTGACAACTTCAGTGTTTCCCCTTCTTTCCAGCGCCGTCCTGCAGGACCCGGCGCTGAGAGCTCCTTCCCTCCCGCCCTCCCTTGGCAGCGCCTCTGGATTGGCCTTTCTGGGCCGGAGCACAGCACCGAGATGACTCCCCTGGCAGACTGCGCACCCCAAGCTGGACACCCTGGATGGTTTCGGTGGAGCAGGAAGGGGCTCCGCAGGTGTCCAGGGCCGAGAAGAGTGCCCTTTTGGGCCTCCTAGTGACCAGTGGTGGCTCCAGCTATGTCTCCCTGCCCTTTCCCAGATAACCAGGCAGGGGAGACAGTGGAGTGGATTCTGTCCCCGTGTTCATCCAAGGAGTGCACGGTGGGGACAGGTCTCTGTCCCTGAGGAGTCCAGTAGCCCAACCGTCCAGGAAGTGGGCGGGTCCCACCTGGCCTGGGCCCTTCTGCTCCAGCTGGGTGCCATGGGGGGGGGGGGGCGGTCAGCAGGGACCTGCAAGGGCTCCGGGACTCCAGCCAAGGAGATGGTGTCCTTTGTTTTCTTCTCCAAAACTGCTTTCCTACCCAATTAAATGGGCTGTGAACCTGCCCTCCTTCCTTCTTTCATTCATTCACCCTGGACTGAGCCCACTCCTGGGCACTGGGCATTGAGCCGGGAACCCCACTGCTTTGGTTCCTGCTTATGAAGAACTAACAACCCCATGGAGAAGACAGTCCTAGGGACCTGGCCCCCATCTCTTTGAGGGAGAGTTGGAGCAGATCCTCGCCAAGCTCCTGAGCCTGCTGCCAACACGGCAGAGCGGCGGCTGGGCTCGCGCGCCCTCTGGTGGTAAAGTCTCCTACTCCTCTTGCTCACCATCACCCCTGGGCCCCTCCGTGCCTCCGGTGCAGGGAATGGGGGGAGGTGTCTTAGAGGATCAAGGCTGGCTCTCCCCCACGCCCCTGCGCAGCCTGATGAATGTGGCCGACTGGATTTAGGGGAACACCATGGAGTCCGGAACCTGGTGCAAGCTGCGGGGAGCCTCGCCTGCCAGTCTGGTCAAAGTAAATGTCAAAGGCTCTTGCTTGCTTCCTTCTTGCCACAAAATCAGGTGCTTCTCCAGCAGCCTGGGGGAGCCACTGGGAGAGGCCTGCGTGGCTTGGGACGGAGGGCAACTAGGGCTCCTGGCTGGCGGTGCCCTGAAACCCCACCTCCACCATTCACTCACTGAAATACTTATTGAGCACCTACTATATACCAGACAGATGTTTTTAATGAAATATTTTGGTAGAAGAAGCACAACTCACCCCCCTCCCCCAAACTCCTGTCCTGGAGTTTAAATGGGGCAGGGGAAGAAGAAAATGGCACTCAACATAGTAATTAAGCACAGAATTTACGGAAGGTAGAAGGCCATTAAGTGCTATGGAAACACGGGGCTGCGGGAAGGTAAGGGGGGAATTGGGGTCTCTGATAAGAAAGCCACAGATCTGTATTTCAGGTAAAATCTCCACAATTTTTCAGTTGACAGGCTATTTAAATTTAAAACTCTGTACAGGCCAACCCTCTGGGGGACAGGGGCCATCAGACTTGGCATTTTAACCTGGGCTCTGCCACCCCCTTTCTCCTAGCCTTTGCCCATGCCACCCACTTGCCTCTGCTGCAAGACCACTTTCTGTTCTTTCTCTGCCAGGGAGCTCTGTTCCCACCGAGACCGAAAGCAGTGCCATCTCCCCCGTAAGACCTGCAGCTCAGCATCAGAGCTGCTGCCCCTGAGGACACCTCCCTCATGTGGCGTTCGAGACGGGAGGGGCAGGTGCAGTCCATGGCCCCACTGTGGTGGTGATCTCGGAACCCCTGGTACCTGCCAGGGCCCTCTCCCAGCCGGGGCTGTTCATTCCTTCAGGGCTCAGTGGGTGGGATTTTGAGGAAGGACCTTGGCACAAGGTTGAAGTTTTGCACCAAATGATTGTTTTCCAACAAGATGACTTTAGATCTGAAAACACTACTTTAAAAAAATATAGATATGTATATTTATTTTTTAAAGTAATAAGGAAAAAGTGTAACTGGCACATTAAAGCACTCAGGATTGATTTCACTTTTTAAAATATATGATTCAAGTTTTAAAAAGTAACTAGATTTAAACTAACATAGCATGAAATAGTGTGGGTGGTTGAGGATATATCAAACTCAGTGATACAAAAAGATCCAAAGTTTGAAAATGATGCCTACAGAACATATTCTGTATTAGTTGACACTTTTTACCCTTTCTATTTATTTATTTATTTTTATTGATTTTTAGAGAGAGAAGAAAGGAGAGGGAGAGAGAGGGGGAAACATCAATGAGAGAGAACATTAATTGGCCACCTCCCACATGTCCCCCACTGGAGATTTGGCCCACAACCTGGGCATGTGCCATGACCGGAAATCGAACTGGCGACCTCTTGGTGCATGGGTCGACACTCAACCACTGAGCCACACTCACTGGGCCCCTTTTTATTTATTTTTATTTAGAGATGAAGAGAGGGAGAGATAGAGTGAGAGAGAGAAAGAGAAACATTGACTGATTCCCTCCTGTATGTGCCCGACTGGAGATCAAACCTGCAACCTAGGTATATGCCCTGGCTGGGAATCTAACTGACAACATTTTGGTATATGGGACGATGCTCCAACCAAGCAAGTCACCTGGCCAGGGCTCTCCCCACCATTTGGCCCCAATGTAGTAAAATGAAATCATATGAGGGAGGGATGACATTTTCCCCACTCTTGTCCTCCAGGTGAGAGAGAGAATCCTCACTGAGCAATGCTCAGGTCCTAGGAAGAGTATAGGGACACATGAGACCCCACACCCCTGGCCCTGGGTAACAAGTTGCTTCCACCCCAACTATGTGCCCTCCTTCTCCAGTTTTGAGTGTGGCCAGGAGAGTCACAGCCAAGAGATTTCTGCATGAGCTGTACCCCACCCACCCACCTCTGCTCACCCACCTTAACATCTCCCATTGAAATTCACGAGTAGGCAGATGTCCTACCCTGGGAACCAGGAGACCCCCTGAGAAGGACACATCCTCAGAGCCGTAATGCTGTCATCTGTGGAATGAGTATATTAGCTCTTAGGGTTGGGACTGGGATGTACCAAGTATGAAACCCCTTGGCACAGGAAAGCCCTCAGGAGGGTATTTACACAATACTTGAGCTTGCTTTCTCTGAATTTGTCACATTTGCTTCTTACAAAGACTGAACTCACAGAATAAGCCCTAATAGCTCAGCTTTGAGGACGAGGAGCCTGAGGCTCAGAGTGGTAGATGACCTTGACCAACAAGGCAGAGCTGGCCAGGGGCAAAGGTACAACTCTTTGGGACCAGCGTCTTTGGATTCTGGAACATCAGCAAAGCCTTGGGAGCTTATGCAAAGACATATGCCACCTCCATGACAGAGGTCTATGGTGCCCTTGGAATCCTGTACGTAGGGCCAGGGCTCAGTAGCTGTCAGCTGGCTATGCAATCCCAAATTGACCTCAGGAGCCAGTGCAACATATTCCCTGAGCCCCAGACCATCACTGAAGGAAAGACCCAGGGAGGCTGAGCCGGGGATCCTGCATACCGGGCACTGTGCTGGGTCCTGGCCAGCTTGGGGGCACAGCGCACCCCAGCTGAACACGTGGATCCAGCAAGCCAGATCTTCTATCTAGGGAGTGTGCCCAAAGACTCTTCCCCCGACTGACCTTCCTAAAGCGGGGGTGGTGTTTTCTGGAACATTCTTGAGAAGCATGGACTACCAAGGCTAATGCTCAGGGCAAATCGATGCCAGAACCCCGAGGGTTCCGGGCTGGACTCCAGCCACTACACCAGCTTTCACACATGACCCGGACTCTGCCTGCACCGTCACAGAGCAGTGGAACCAGGTCCAGCTTCGCTCTGCCTCCCCTACCCTGCCCTGCTCTCCTGTTACCCGCGCTGGGCAGGTTGGGTCAGCATCTGAGGCTCCACGAAGTTCCGAGCACTGAAGCAGGCATCAGCCCCCACCAGAAAGCCCAGGTGACAGGAAGTGTGAGTCCTGGGAGGATGCATAACATTTACACAGGAGCTGCTCAGTGTTACAGAGCTTCCAACTCCTTCCTCCACACACCCACCTAGACGTGGATTTCACGTCAGCCCATCCTTGGATTTGGGAGCTAAGATCACACAGCTACACTTTGGCAGAGCTGAGATGGAAATCGACTC